TGAACCTGTTTGTTTCACCCTCAAGGATGAGTTACCCCTGCCATCTGCCTTCTGCCCAGCTGAGTTACTCCCTATCTATATGTAAGTTACGATCTCCAGAGCCTTGCTGTACACTGCATTCCCAGGTGTGTTCCCAGGACTGTGTCTGTACATTCCCAGGGGACTGAGGCCTAGCTCTTTTTGGCCTTCCCCAGGATTATATCCCTGGTCTCTTAGCCATTCTCCAACACTAAAGCAAAGAAGCTAGAAAGCCACGAGGTCCTCAATCCAATTCCATTCCACTGCAGTTTAAGAGTGTGCACTTCCCATGAGAAGATCAGAGTGCACAACAATCTCAAAGGTCAGGTTCACCTTATTCTTGGAGAAAGTTTGCTAAGCAGGCACATTGAATTATAGTAGTACAAATGATTGTGGTTTGCAGATTATCTGCAATAAGGCAACATCAATGAGAATATCTGCTCCTTGATGGTAACCATTGGGCTGTCTCCTTCCAGTCCTTTCCTATCCCTGTTACTTTGTCTTTGTAAAAAGCACTCCAGTGCTATGCCCAGTGGATCTAATTAATGTATCTGAGGGGTTTGCTCAGAGAAAAATGCAATTACATAATTATTGGTTGCATGGACCCTTTTCATATTTGAACAAAACCATTTTGCTGTACAGTCCTGATGAAAGTAACAGCCTTTTCAACACTAAGAGCACCACATGATTCTGTTGCTATAATGAGTCTAAGATCAGAAAAAAGTTGTAGACTCTCCAGCTTATTCTGAGATACTGTATGAATGTAGGGAAGGAGTTATTCCAGACACCTCAGAATTAAGTGATATGATGGTTTTTTCCACCTTTCACAAGTGAACATATTGGGACATCCAAATTTGCCTTGTCTGTACATACTACTTTTTGTTTCAGCCACTAGTCAAAGAGCTTGGGTGCTACTCAATGTAGCACTTAAATTAAGCATAAATTATTCCATAATGTCTTCCTAGAGGAATTCATGTTGCTGTAACTTGTCTGGCAGACTTAGCATGCTGTTTATTTGACCCTTCTGTCAAAAAGAAGAAAAAAAAGGCAATTAAATTTCAACTATTTTACAAGATGAACTGGAAGAACTTAGATTTCATATGCACTGTAGCCCAAAGGTTTGGTATTCTAAATAGTATGAAAATAACCAAGCACACCCTTTGCCATGTGGATACAACTCTTTACTAATTTCTGTACCTCTGCCTGGTTTCTCAGTGGATTTTGGTGTAAGTGCTCAGCTGGACAGGACTATTGGGAGAAGAAACACATTCATTGGCACACCGTATTGGATGGCACCCGAGGTCATTGCTTGTGAGGAGAACCCAGACTCTACATACGATTACAGAGTAAGTGTTAAACTCTGCACAAGGTACCAAAACGTGCAGATTATTGCTGAAATCCTGCTCATTTGAAAAGTTCACACTTCCTGCCTTTTAAACCACAATAATACTAAGAACTGTGCGAATAGAAGTATTTGTAGTATGTGGGTGGAGGCTCTTTTTAAGAGTGACGTTTCATTATGAGTATTTTTTGTGAATTGTTAATGCGTGAAATACACTTTCAGTAACTTCTCTGCCATAAAAAAGTGCTGCTATATGAAAGTTGCAGGTCTGGATAGGAAAGAAAGGAAGAGGTAAATTTGGAACGAATACTTCAAGTGTAGTGTAATGTTAATATGGCAAGTTACTGCTCTCCTCTGCAATAACTAGTATCACTTCACTCATGTATGAGCATGTGACTGCAAGAGGTTTCCCATCCCAGAATGATTTCTAGTCATTCACAGGATAACTGAAGTGAGAACACACAGAATTTCCTGTATTTCAGTTTGTGTCTGTTGCCTCTTGTCCTGTCACTGGGCACCACTTCTGAAGTCTGGCTTGGTCATCTTTACTTCCCTCCCAGTAAGAATTTCATAGAATCATAGAATAATAGGATTTTAGGGGTTGGACTAGACCTTACAGATCATCTAGTCCCAACACCCCCTGCCATGAGCAGGTGCACATATATGAGATCCTTCTGAGCCTTCCCTTCTCCAGGCTGAACTGGTCCATCTCTCTCAGCCCAGACCATCCCAGCTCCAATCCCTTAAACACTTTGTGGCCCTTCGCTTCACTCACTCCAGTGTGTTCATGACTTGTACTGGGGAGCCCAAGAACAGCTATCAAGCACTCTTTCTGGTTTTCCTCCAAACCCTTATAGTATGTTGATGGTGTTCCAAAGAGACCCACAAAGCTTATTCTTTGGCTTCTGGCCTCTTTCCAGCAGTGTTGTCATTTGTCTGTCTGCAATTACCATGCAACATGTTTTCCAGGGCTGGCTTTTTGAGCAGGTACCTTCTGGGTGACGCTGCAGTCACTCTCTTAGTTCAGGTGCTCTTTTCATTGCCACTTTGCACCTCTCATTCCAGTTGTTGCTTCAGAAATATTTATGAGAAGAACCTGTTACTGCTTCCATTTGCTGAGACTTTCTGTGCTGCACTGACAGAGTGAGGTCATGTTGTGTGTCAGTCATGACCAAAGAATGTTCTTGGATTTTATTTTTCATACCATGCCAATCTTCTACTGAAACCTCATGAAACTGATCTCTTGTCTTCATTCCCAGACCCCAGTCAATTTCCTTCTCAGAATGTGTACTTCTCAGAAGATAAAAGCATAAGGAATGTGCACCCCTAATTCTTGAGATTTCTTTGCCTTCAGTAATAATCACTTTGTCTGCTTCCCAATAGATTCTGCAGATGGTAATTTAAAATTGATCAGCAGATGGTTTTGGAAGCACTTATGCAAACAGTGCTGTGGCTCAGAAGGTGGCATAGGACTGGTCTTTTCCACAGAGATTTATAGCTGATAGGATGAGCCAAGTAACAGGAAGCCACTCTGTAACTTGTTGCTTTGAAAAGAACCCAACAAAAACCAAAGAAGTAAAAATATATATACATAAATATGTATGTATACACACTG